TATCCCTGTAATTAGTCATTAAGAAATGTGCTCCTGAACTGGCTCTTATTCTCTCTAAACTGTGTAACAATTGACGCGTTGCCTCCTACTGCTGGAATCATCATCTGATGTTCCAGTTTTTAAGAACTCTTGTAAACCGTTCAACACTTCCAACTATAGTATTGGAGAACCTCCTAGTGGCTCTAATCACTGCTGGATTGTTTCATCGTCTCTTATGGCAGAGTCTTTTTCTCAGATAAACAATACTGCTTTCGTTTCTCCAGGTCAATGATATTTGCAGAAAGAGTTTGTCATTCTCTAGATAAAAAAAAACGGTGAAGCCCGGGTTGTTGCATTGGACATCTCGAAAGCCTTTGACATTGTCTGGCATTCAGGTCTTCTCCACAAGCTGAAAACTTAAGGTGTATCTGGACACTTTTTTGAACTGATCCAGTTTTTCCAATCAAATCGTGAAATGAAACGGCCACTCGTCTAGATCAGTTTGTACTAAATTAGCTGTACCCCACGGCACCATCATTGGTCTTATTCTGTTTGTTTTAATTTTCATTAGTGACCTTCCTGATGACATCTGCTCTCAACTTGGTATCTACGCCGATGCCACAATTTACTCCGGCCTCGATCGTAAGGTTTATCAGTCCGACAAGGTCAAAACAGCAGCTGATGTACAAAACGATCTTCACTCGGGGGCAAAAGATGGCTTGTTAATTTTAACGCCCCCCAAAACTAAATTTCTCACCATTAATCATCATAGAGATCCATCGCTGTCCTCCATCAACATGGCTGATGATAACCTCCTGGAGGTTAGCATCAGCCATGTTGATGGAGTACAAGTGACACGATGCGCCTTCTCGGACTCACGTTTTCTGTTGATATGAAATGGAAAGACTATATTAAATCCATTATTAGATGAGCTGCTAAGAAAATCGGTTTACTAAGTCGGACGAGACAATTTTTCTCTCTGGAATCTATCTTGCATATCTAAAAGTCTACAATTCGTCCATGCTTAGAATATTGCTACCACATATGGTCCGGTGCCCCTGCTATTTATCTTTAGCTCTTTCATAAGATGCAAAGAAGAATCAGCAGTATTATGGGTCCTGATCTGGCAGCTTGGTTCCAGTCACTTTGCCCAACACCGTAAGGTTGCCTCTCTGTGTCTTTTCTTTCATGGTAAATTATTCGGCTGAGTTCTCCGCTATGATACCTAGAGTTTTTTTTCTTTTAATTTAAGCGCAACAGTAGACTGGCATCAAGATCTCATCAACTTACAGTTCAGCTGACTTGATTTAACCGAAAATTCTATACTAACCCTTCTCTAGCCTTTTTCGCTTCTGGAAGTATGTTAGGGCTCCATGATTTCCAGCCAACTTTGATCTTCAAAAATTTAAACGCAGTGTCAATCTCTGTGTACTAACACCCCCCCCTGATTACTCTTTTCTCTCAACATTATTGTTTCTGTTCCTAATTCTTCCACACCCTGTAAGACCTTGAGTTTTAGTGTCATTACTGCCTTGCTTGGGGGTGATACTGATGTAAAAACAAACAAAAAAATTAAAACAAATTTTCATCCATGTGCACGCTTGCTATTTACGAATGTTGCTTGCATAGATAGATAGATAGATAGATAGATAGATAGATAGATAGATAGATAGATAGATGCAAAGCAAGGTAGATAAGATAGATGCAAACCAAGATTGATAGATAGATAGATAGATATGAATATAGGCCCGAATACAATTAGATAGATAGATAGATAGATAGATAGATAGATAGATAGATAGATAGATGCAAACCAAGGTAGATAGATAGATGTAAACCAAGGTAGATAGATAGATAGATAGATGCAAACCAAGATAGATAGATAGATAGATAGATAGATAGATAGATAGATATGAATATAGGCCCGAATACACTTAGATAGATAGATAGATAGATAGATAGATAGATAGATAGATAGATAGATAGATAGATGCAAACCAAGATAGATAGATAGATAGATAGATGCAAACCAAGATAGATAGATAGATAGATAGATAGATAGATAGATAGATAGATAGATAGATAATGAAATGCCGGAATTTTGAATTTGATGAAGTTTATACCTTCCTGAGTATAATTTTCAATATCAGGAAGTCATACCCCCGCCAGCTTCACAATGAAATGTTTGACGTCATACCTACAGTGCATCTATTGGCCCCGGATTCGCTTACATACATGCTTATCTATATTCAAAGACACTTACAGAGACATTCACTTAAAGCGCTCTTTGAGAAACAGTCAGCAAGTTTGTTCAATAAAAAATGTCACAAAGACCGCATGCCACAAAAGGATATGAGACTTTTAAATGTCATTGTTCCTCCAGTTTGTTGTCAATTGAAATCTTTATTACATACTTCTTTTACTTATGCTTCTGTCTATCTAGTTTTCCGGTATTTTTGTGTGATGGCCTCCCACCTGCCTCGCCCTGAATTATCGCGTCATGACTGGTCCCAGTTGGAGATTGAAAAAAAAAAAATCTTTGAAAAAAATTTCACTGAGGTAGTTGCAGGAACAGGAGGAGTATCGGATGAATAAATGAGAAATCAGCAGGTAGCAAGTCTTGGAGAGAAAATGGTATTAAATGTCTGATTAATTTAAGGCAAACGGGAATCGTGTACAATTTTCATACATTCGTGATACGACTTTTTTAACAGCACACTCACAAGCACACACACCTACCCACACATATAAATATACTATATATATGTGTTTGTAGATACACATATATTTTCACACCCGAATATACATATATAATCCATAACTGTACAAATATCTACAGATATAAATATACACGCAGATATGTAAACGTGTTGTGTTCAAATAATCATACATGCGTCATATATATATATATATATATATATATATATATATATATATATATATATATATATATATATATATATAATTTATATATATATATATATATTATAGATATTTTATGAATTTATTTAATTCACATTTTTATTTACACACACAGACGCACACAGACACACTCTTCCGTTGTCTCTCTCTCTCTCTCTCTATATATATATATATATATATATATATATATATATGTGCATGTATGTGTGTGTGTGTGTGTGTTTATGTTTAGAATAGGATTATGTGTCCATGTTAATCACCTTTATTTAGACTGAACTAAGAGTACACGTGTAAGCAATCTTTTTGGGAATCGTACCTGCCAAAGTCCATTCCCAAACTTCCGGTCCGAAACTTCTCGATTTAATCGCCAACCAAAACAAAGAATTAAAGACGGAATCAGGTACGAATTTCTGCAAGATTATTTGCCTTGAAAATCAACCTTCGAACATGAACTAGATGAGACACTCAGCTATTTCAAGTACCAGGCAGATGCAGATAGGCCCGTATATATTTGAAATTAAATATATTAATGCGTTTTATTTTAATGCCATCAACATAATCTACCGAGAATATTGTTTCACTAAAAACTTAAGCTGTTCCTTGCTTCTTTCTTTCTCTCTCTCTCTCTCTCTCTCTCTTTCTTATATATATATATATATATATATGCAGTTCGAACGAACGTAGGTCTCTGTATATTTAGTAATATATACTTCTTAGCTCTGTCTAACCACACTGACCACTGTTTTGTTTATACCTTAAATTAAATTGAGTAAATATTTATTCCCTTACCTGTGTAAGCATGCTAACGCATGTATATATACGGTTGCTAATATCTAATTATTTGATTTAACCACATCAATACCTATACACACACACACACACACACACACATATATATATATATATATATATTCATATATATAGATAGATAGATAGCCTGCTGAGTGGGTCGTCTGTGGTTGACTTCAATGCCTACTTTTTTATTTACAAACACTCTACCCCAGATATTTTGCAATTTATCCCATAAATATAGTATAGCTTAAAACTATATTTTTCATATATATATATATATATATATATATATATATATATATATATATATTCGACTTATATCCATTGTATTCACTTACGTGCTAATACCCTTGTGAAAGGTCTTAATACTATTCTTCTCCCCTCCAGCTATGGGTAAATAGCAGCACAGATTGGGTTCTATAGTCTTGGATGGCAAGTAGTCTCGGAGAAGGACAACTCTGAATTCAAAAGTTGCGGAGGGTTATTTGGGGACCTCGTGTCACCAGGTCTCTGTATTCGGCTCTTCAAAAAGTGTGGTTGCTTCTGCAAAAAAGCCTTCACCACAATAATCAAATCATATGTCCAGATGTCTGGCTTTTGTTTCCTAGGGACTGATCTGCTTGACCCCTCATAGGTGACAGGTGAGTTCACCATATATATATATATATATATATATATATATATATATATATATATATATATATATATATGTGTGTGTGTGTGTGTGTGTGTGTGTGTGTGTGTGTGTGTGTGTGTGATTAAAATATAGATTTAATGTATACTCTATTTACGGATAAATGTGCTCAATATCAGAGATAATGCTTATATAAATACAAAAGCGGACACTGAGGTCACCACGCTTTATGTATATATATATATATATATATATATATATATATATATATATATATATATATATATATTATAAATTGAACAAATAGCCTTAAAAAGATCTTTTGTTTATCGCCTATAAGTATACATATATGTGTGGGTGGCTGTTATTAGTTTGATACTGTTTCGGAAACGAAGAATGAGTAACCTGGAAGGCAGAACTTATCGCTGTTGTTGTTTCTGCTGAAGAGGTTAATTTCTTCTTCGCCTCAGCAATCGTAAATTCGAGGAAAGAGGAATACGTCGTATTTTGGCTAAATGAATCTATAATTTATTTACATATATACAAAGCTAACATACTACTGGTTGTTGTTGTTGTTGTAAAAGCCGACAGAGACGGGAATGAAGAAAGAAAGAGAACGAATGTTGGTCATGGCTGTCGGCTGATGTTTTGTGAAGACAGCGGCGGCATAAGGATGAAAGCTGAAAAGTATCCGGTTCAATCTCAGTCTGCCTGCGGCGTTCTAGACCAACCACAGCCGGGTTTCTCTCCCTCTCTCGTGTCTCTGTCTGTTCTTTGCGGCGTTGAATCAGGGAATTTATATCCGTCTTATCGGCTCCAAATCACTGTCTGGGTCTTTTAGCGGGAGTTATTTCTACTGGTCAATATATAAAGTTCATTTTATCATTTAATACCGAAAGCATGCGCCGAGCCATGATGCGCAGAGACGCGTTTTCGCATTCTGCCTTGGGTCGTCGAGCAGTCAACATACGGCTTAGACAATTGACTTGATTGGCATGTCAACAAGTCAATTCTGGTGCTGTAAGTCTTCTCCTATACATCATACAACTCGCTATGACCTGTTGAATCAGACAAAACTTTTTTTTTTTTCTGTGCAAATCATAATCCATTGTGTTCACTTTGCACTTGAGAGTGTTGTAAGTCCCCCCATTTATAGATTAAATAGCAAGGTAGATAGGGATCTATAGCCTTGGGTGGCGGCCAGTCTAAGGAAATAACTATTCTGAATTCAAACGGCAACGGGAATCTGCTAGTCTATCTCCCCGCCCTAATCATGCCAATTCACAAATAATATAGAAAAGGAATCTGTGGAGAGCCATGATCGCTTACATTCTAAAGAGACACAATCTTTATATTTTTTAAAATCTGAAATGTAATTTTGTTACCTCGCAATGTTTGTCCTGATCCTAGAATGGTAAATCTGAATTCTTCGGACATATTAATTTCCGACAATTACGTGTTTTTTGGGGTTTTTTTTCCAGTTTCAGTTTTAACAAGCTAGTGATAGTTTTAAAATTATTCGAATATTTCAGGAAATAAAAACAGAAGTAACGTCTTTTATTCTGGGGTACGTGGAGAATTTTGATTAGCGGTGATACAAGACCTTTTCTAAAAGAATTCAATAATGACAGCATGCCATTTATATAAAAAAGAAAACTTATTTATATATATTTTCTGGATACGTTTAAATTAATTTTCAACATAAACAAAAATACACCACGCTTTTTATGGTTTAACATTATTCTGACTGAAAAGTTAATTGTTTTACTATGAATGATTATGTCGTTAAGAGTCATGGTCGTCCATGTATTGAAGGGATGCGACACATAAAAGAAAGAATCATAGTGGGATGTTAAAGAGAGTCATGGAGAGTAATGATAATTTAATCATAGAAACTTTACATGTATAGATACAAAAAAAATGTATTTAATTAAAGACTTTAAAAAACGAAAATACTTTTGATACACCATAATTTTAGACTACATGAGAGGATATTTGCACTGCGAGGTAAATTAAAATACTGATTACGGGCGTGTTTTTTTTGTTTTGTACAATAAAACCTCGATAAAGAAAAACGCATTTAAGAAATCACTTGATACTCACATACACACTTGTGCAAATTGAGTTCATGCCTGTCACCTACACCCTTGTGCAAATGAATTGAAACAAAACGAATAATTCCATTATTATTTACTTTTTGTTTCGTATTTTTCCATTGAAACACGCCCCATTGCACATGTTGGTATTTCCACGAAGTCGTTCCTTGCATATTAACCACAGATTCTCGATTGAATTTAAATCAGACGAGTCTCCGAGCCAGTCGATAGTACTTTGATTTCTTGGTAAGGCTTTCCAGTGTGTTTGTGCAATGTTACAATTTTAGTACACTTCCTTGGAGAAACGTCCATCACAGACAATGGCCGTAGGACAACTAATCGACAGTCGAGACAATAGTGTCTGGGCCAAACGAATTTCAACATACACCGCGAAAATAGATTCATATTACTACACACCACTGCAAATAACGTACTCTGAGGAAAAAAATAGATATCGATTACACCCTGTCACTCCAGTGGGTCTAAAACTGACCCTATGTTGAAAGAAAGGAAACTAAAGCGGTTGTTTCAATTAATTTGAACAAGGGTGTATGTCATAACGACACGTTTCTTTCATAATTGTTAATCCAGGGATTTTAGAAATTGAATATCGAGAAACTGGGAAATGAGTTGGCTTATCCTATTTTCAGGAAGTTTTGTTAGTATAAACCAAAAAAAAAATCAGCAACAGGTATCGAAAAACACAACATGGTTTTAAAATCCAGTGCTGGAAACCATGGCACCGTAGAACCATCATAACTGCTACGGTTATTGACGTAAAACTGTTTGGAAATTCTTTTATGAGTACAAAGTAAATTACGGCGCAGGCTACATCTATGGGCCAGGAAAGGTATATGTTCTATCTTTCTATGTGTCATGTCCTTTCAGGACGTTGGCGATCATGGATCTCCACCTCCTTCTATCCTTTGCAGCTCTCAACAAGTTCCTTCCCTTTGCTATCTCTCCCAGACTACGTTCTGTCATCCACTTACTCAAGACCGCCAGGAATGTCACGCACTGCTTTCCCTTGTCTCTGTTTTCGACCTGTGAGTATCAGATTCTCAATGCCCTCTTTCCTCATAACATACTATATATTATATTATATATAATGTATTATATATTATACATTATATTATATATATTATATTATATTTTATTATATTATCTATAACTATATTGTATTATATATTATATTATATATATTTTATTATATTATCTATAATTATATTGTATTATATATATATTATATATAATGTATTATATATTATATTATATATTATATATATTATATTATATTATATATAATTATATTGTATTATATATTATATTATATATAATGTATTATATATTATATTATATATTATATTATATATATTATATTATATTTTATTATATTATCTATAATTGTATTGTATTATATATTATATTATATATAATGCATTATATATTATATTATATAATGAATTATATATTATATTATATATATTATATTATATTTTATTATATTATATGTAATTATATTGTATTATATATTTTATTATATATAATGTATCTATTGTATTTACAATTAATATGTACTTGGTTTTGCCACTTTCTTCCTTTGTTCCTACGTAGTTTTCGCAATTTCAAAGAATTTTCCACAATTAAATTTCTTGATGATTCAGCAGTTTTCAAAACTGTGTAAAAACAAATATAATTCAACGCTTAATCAAACATCTACAACAATCACAAAAAAAGTTACGTTTTTTATTAGACATTTTGTTTTACAAAAGAACACAGCTACTCTTCAAACCTTTCAACGCTTATTTATTTGTTTTATCTATGTAATTATTGTTTACAAAAAGTTCCAAAAAAATTATAGAAGTCGATGTCGTCAAATTATCACGAACAGATCTCCTACTCGGCAGGCATGCCGTCGGAAATACAAAAGCCATCTAAGTCTTGCTTGAAGGAATTAAGAAGGATGACAACAGAAGATTGGATTGATTTAATCAGCCCTTTAAAATATGTCTGCTTATTTCTCTCTAATTATTATTTTTTATCACTTCTGATAAATCATTCTCGGCAGACTCCTACGTTTTTTTTTGTTTGTTTGTTTGTTTTTTTTTTACGTTAGCTTTCCAACCACAAGACCCAGGTTCGAATCTCACCATGGTCAATTTGCCAGGGAGGTGACTTTTTGATAATGCCGCACTGGGGAAGATGGATGCCAGCGTACGACCGGTTCTGGGTATGACGATAAACTACATCCGCGTCCTGGGTAAGACGATAACTTGCATCCGACCGCAAGACCTTTGATCAAAACGTTTTGAAGATCTAAATTGCTGTTGTTCCCAGCTTCACCCTGACTCGGGGTGGTAGCACCTGTCAGAGTCCTAGCTATCCAAACATAGAATGTATATCTGTTTGTATTGCTAGTACTTTAAAAAGAAAAAAAAACGTATTGCTGATAATAATTTTTCCTTCAAAAATTATTGCTGGAATTTTTTTTTTGTTACAAAGTATTTCTGGTATTAAAACCTATTTTTACACAAGTTTGGGTGTCAACTATTTGCCCATAGCTGGGACCCTAACAGGTGCTACCACCCCGGGTCAGTTTTTATCTGTAAAATGAACGTATAAATATAAAAAATGAATTAAAATAATATTCGGACTTTGTCCATTTCATAATGTGTGACGTCATTTGTTTACAATTGGATACGCATCGAGCAGATATGACTGTACGTGAGAAAAATCACAGAGAATTGTAATTTAACAACAGTAAAATCGTCCTTGTTAACTCTGTGGCTCAATCGGTAAAATCACGTCAGGCTATATGACGGTTCCGTATGGGATACACGTTCGATTCCTGTCGGAGGACGCATATTTTCTACGAACATTTCTCGAACATTCAGGCCTGTAAATGTTGTTTAATACTGTTTATTTAAACAGAGCATTTACTTAAATATTTGTATTAAAAAAAAGGATGTATAAACATAAAAAATGTCTTAAAATATTTATTAATCTTAGCTTAGAATGCGACACCCTTATATAAAGATAAATATAGTTAAGAAGATTATGCAACACTAATCTTCCAAGTATAAAAGACTTGCTTCTACTTGTATTGTCGGGTTTCTCGTTCTGTTTGGCTGGTTATATACTATTTAATGGAGATAAATGCATTAATACACAAAATTAGTTTAAAGTTTTCTTTCTTTCATTTTAACCAGAAGACGCCTACGAAGGCATACGCTTCTCCGGTGAAACGTGTCGTTCATTAAAAAAAAACCTTTCTTTCATCGTCTTCAGTTTCGTCTCGCATACAATTATACATCCTACAAACACACACACACACGCACGCACACACACACCACAATTTGCGGCAAAAATATGCCACGGGTTGACCCAAGCCTTGTGAGTAAAAATGGGTAGACGGAACCATTGGGGGCCGTCGATAGCTGTGCTAGCACGAAGTCACAAGTCATCATGACCGAGGGGTTGAGCGTGCTGGCCGTGTTGAAATTGTTGATCACGCTAGATAATAGGCTCTTTCCCAGAAACTCTCAGGTCTGCTCAGCATAGTTGCAGAATAAAGCGCAGCTGGGCTCTGTGTGAATAAACACAAATGCGCCTGATCAAGCGTTTGCAATAGGGATTGGCTAGCCACCCTAGTAGGCAGATATCCTCGAA